GTTGAAATATCAAAACCACTTGAGCAAGAACCTCAGAGCATACCCTACATGTGGGACCTGGAGAGGGCGGGAAATTGGGTGGGCCTTCTCCCTTAATACCCCCTTTAAACATGAAGGAAACAATATGGAAAAAATAATGGTCTTTCCCACGCTCCTGTAGCCCTTGAACCTTTTTACCCTAATTAACTATGTAAAGAACGTAAAAAAAAAAAAATGGAGTTGTAAAACTTGGCACAGATTAAAACTAAAAGCTGGAATAAAACAATGAATATACAAATATACTTAGGAATAATATATTTTTAAAGAGTTTTTTTTTTTTTTTTTTGGAAAGGCAATTCAGATTTATGGAGGAGAGACAAAGATCTTCCATCTGCTGGTTCACTCACTCCCCAAATGGCCACAACTGCTGGAGCTGGGATAATCTGAAGCCAGGAGCTTCTTCTAGGTCTCCCATGCTGGTGCAGGATCCCAAGGCTTTTGGCTATTCTCTACTGCTTTTTCCAGGTGTTAAGCAGGCAGCTGGATGGGAAGTGGAGCAGACAGGACACTAACTGGCACCTATATGGGATCCCGATGCTTTAAAAGAGGTAGGATTAGCCGAATGAGCTATCATGTCAGGCCCAGTACAAGGTTCTAACAAAAGCTCTTTTAATGAAGCTGGTTTACATTGAATTAAAGTAAGCATAACCTAAGATAACAAAATGAGTGTAAGATGTGAAATGACTCCACTTGGAAAGCTTATATTCTGGTTTAAGTGATTTTCAAACTAATAGGCAGCCCAACAGTGTTCTATGCCTCAACTGGTGTCACATGCCTTGCTGGAAGTATAACCCAGTTTAGACTATCTCAAACACTGCCAAGTTCAGTAGAAATTAGGCTTCAACACAATAAGCTGCTAAATACTAAAATGAAAATAGACGTGAGACAGCTGAATAGTATCATATAGCCAATTTTAGATAGATACAAGCCATTGTATACAAACCATAATTGAAATGTTATGTTGGAAACTATTGTCATGTCATGGCTTTTAATTGGTCGGAACAATATTCTGCCAGCTAGGTCTTCAGACCAGGGTTGGTATTCCCAAGAAACTGTTGAATTTAGCTGGGCAATAAGATACTGGACTTTATGCATGGCACATGCTTGCAATGAAAGAAACAAGACTGGATTTGAACTATAATACTGCAATAAGGTGGAGCAATCTACCACCGGGGGGAGAGTACAGGGATGGGATGGGGGAACATCAGAGCCTATGAAGCATTGTTATGAAATGCAATTAAAAAACAAAACAGGGCCCGGCACGATGGCGCAAGTGGTTAAAGGTCCTCGCCTTGCACGCCCGGGATCCCATATGGGCGCCAGTTCTAATCCCGGCAGCCCCGCTTCCCATCCAGCTCCCTGCCTGTGGCCTGGGAAAGTAGTCGAGGCCCAAAAGCTTTGGGAAAGCAGTCGAGGCCCAAAGCTTTGGGAACCTGCACCCGCGTGGGAGACCCGGAAGAGGCTCCTGGCTTTGGATCAGCATAGTATCGGCCGTTGCGCTCACTTGGGGAGTGAATCATCGGACGGAAGATCTTCCTCTCTGTATATCCACCTTTCCGATGAAAAAATAATAAAAATAAATCTTTAAAAAAAAAACAAAAAACAAAACAAAACAAAACAAAACTAATAGGCAGGCACTCAGTGAAACGCAGGTGCCCAGGGGTGAAGCACACTAAGCCTCTGCCCGCGGCTCCAGCACCCCACATGGGCATCAGCTTGAGACTTGGCTATTCCATTATTTCCTTCCTTTCTTCTTTTTTAAAGATTTACTTATTTTTATTAGAAAACCTGATACAAGACACAGAAAGATCCTTCATCTGCTGGTTTACTCCCCAAGTACTACAATGGCCAGAGCTGAGCTGATCTGAAGTCAGGAGCCAGGAGCTTCTTCCAAGTCTCCCACATGGGTACAGGGTCCCAAGGCTTTAACAGGCCACAAGCAGGGAGCTGGATGGGAAGTAGAACAGTCATGACATGAACCAGAGACCATAGGGGTTCCTGGTGTTTGCAAGCTGAGGACTTGAACCACTAGATTATTGCACTGGGACCGCTACTCCACTTCTGTGCCAACTCTCTACTAAAATACCTAGGAAAGCAGCAGATGACCCAACTCTTTGGCTTCTGGCTTTGGACTAGCCAGACCCAACTGTGGTGGCAATCTGGGTAGTGAACTAACGAACGGAAGGTTTCTTTCTATAATCGTCTTCCCTATAAAAACAGAAATAAACAAAGTAGACCCCAGGTTGGTGCTGTGGCAGGTAAAGCTGCTGTCAGTAGTGACAGCATGCTGTGTGTGCCCATTCAAGTCCTGGCTGCTCCACTTCCAGTCTAGCTTCCTGCTGATGGCTAGGAAAACAGAAGATGGCCCAAGTATTCGGGCTGCTGGACCCTCTGGTGTACTGGCATACTGTACTATTTAGGGGATGACATTGGGAAAAGTCTGTATGTGTGTAACAGATGCAATTTTTTTCTTGAATATTTTCAACCAGGGGTTGATTTTGCAGATATAGTATCAGAGGGCTGACTGTATATAATTTCTCCCAGGGGATGGTGTGACAGCATAGTGGCTAAAGTCCTTGCCTTGAACGCGCCAGGATCCCTTATGGGCACCGGTTCTAATCCCGGTGGCTCCGCTTCCCAAACAGCTCCCTGCTTGTGGCCTGGGAAAGCAGTCGAGGATGGTCCAAAGCTTTGGGATCCTGCACCCGTGTGGGAGACCCGGAAGAGGCTCCTGGCTTTGGACTGTCTCAGCTCCAGCCGCTGCAGCTGGGGAGTGAATCATCAGACAGAAGATCTTCCTGTCTCTCCTCCTCTTTGTATATCTGCCTTTTCAATTAAAAAAAAAAAAAAAAAACAAATCTTAAAAGAAATAATAATTTCTCCATCAACAGGAATTTTAAGCCCTATTAAGAGAATCTGACCTTTGCTTTTGTATTTATCCCCCTTTCAGTAAGGCACAGGAATACTTCATTACTTCTTGCTGCCTTCAGTTTTTAAGCAGCATTTTCCTTTTCTCTCTCTAAGTACTGAGCGGGGTAAAGAGTGAATCCTGAATAAATGGCAATTGCCTCATAATCAAATATAAAACCAACTTAGTGGGCCACAAATATGAGTAAAGAAAAACAGACAGCTTAATATTTATGTCATAATGCAAAATGCATTTCTTACTGTGGGTTGCCACCAGAACAAGTACGAAAGCCAACACTTCATGAATACTGATAAAGCTAAGGTTCTTCAATAACTCTTCAACATCTGGTAAGCAAAGACACTTTTGCATTTAATCTAGTTTTCCCAAGCTCTACTCTTCAAAGTTAATACTAATTTTCTTCTCCATGCCTCCCTCCTCAGGGAGGAGGGCAGAGAGCCCCACAACTAAGGAGCATTCTGCAGAGGGCACACACCCGCAGGAGTAGATGAGTCATCTGTTAGGATGCACTTCAGAGGAGCTCTTGGCGCACCTGTCTCTGAAATTCTAGATGGCCCAAGGAAGGCTTTGAAATGGTCGTAACCTGCTCCATGCACACAGGTCTTAGGATTCATGAAGTGGTCTTTCAAGATCACCTTTCTTCTTCACCTTGGAACCGGACTCTCTATTTTGACCACAAAAATCACTTTCTGGGAAGCCCTGGCGCACTCTACCCATTTTAAAATCATGCTTCTAATGGGCTTTGGCTTCTTCTTCCACTACTATAGACATGAACAAAATTAGGCCCTTTACTAGCTTTGCATCTTACATCATCTTAATCAGCAAGCAAAACATGAATGCTTACCCAGGCCTAATAATGCATTAATTGTGATCTGTCACAGTCTAATACAGCCTTCTTTTTGACACTGATTAGTTTTAGCTTCAACAACACCTCCTCCGATAACTTTTTCTGAATGCCTTGGATGGGACGGGCCTCCCACTGCCCAAGCTTCATTAACCCTGGATTCGGATCCGTACCTCTCTGAGCTGCCTGTAGCAGACTCCATGCTTTCCTCTAACTCCTAGGCTATGCCTCCAACAGCACCTGACACAGCAGGGCCCTGCTACTGGCTTACTGAGTGGTACTCAAAGATGAAAAGCTTAACTCAGGTAACATACATAGACTAGGAGATGTCCCCAGTCTTGCACATCCTACATATTCTCCCTTTGCTCAATGGTAAAGTATCTTAAAATGTAGTCACAACACTGTGAGAGATAATGGGAGAACCCTGGGAAACCGCCAACAAAGAACGCAGAAGTCACACACGTTAAAACAAACAAACAAACAAACAAAAACAAGCCGGATAAAGGGATGTGAGGCGCCCCGTAAGCATTTCCACACGCAGTCCAGGAAGCTGGTGCCTGAAACCTTCTCACAGCCTTCCCCCATTCTGCCTTGTCATCCCCTTTTTACTCTTATTTCAAACAAACAAACAAAACAACCTGCCACAGCACGACGGGACCCCTCCAAAACTTGGCTGAACTTACCTCATCAGTCCTCTGCTCCCTGGGGTACATCCCCCAAATCCCCGTTCCCCGCAAAGTACATTAGGTAACCTTCCGGCCTCCACAGGTCACACTCTCCAGAACTCGAGTGGGGACAACCATTTCCCTTTTCAACAGCCCCAACTAAAATGGAAGTGCGTCGGCACCTGGACGTCAGTAATCTTCCGTAAGCCCCTAGCGTTTGGAGGTCACTCGAGCTGCTGCACCGGCGACGAGCTCTCTCCAGGCCACTCGCCGCGGCTTCCCACCGCCACCACCTGGGCCACCTGCCCTGGAGGGCGCAGGCAAGCTTGGGCTCCCTCCCCGAGCGGCCCTCACCTCTGGGCACTTGGACTTAACACGGACCCCGAGTCCCTCTTCCCACTTTCCTCCCCGACTCTCCCTCATTCCCTCCTCCACTGGGGTGGGGGGCAGGGGAGAGGACCTGCGGTCTGGACTGCCACCAGAACCTTCCCACCTCGCCCCCGCTCCTCCTCCCCTCCCCACTCACTTTGGGCTTCTCGGGCAGTTTCTTCCGGTTCTTCTTCTTGGGCTCCTCGCCTTTGAGGTTCTTGAGCGAGGCGGGGTCGTCAGGGGTCGAGGCCGGCGTGGCCGTCGCCTCCTCCCGCTTGCGGGGCGGGTTCCTCCGCTTCTTGCGGGCGCCCGCGCAAGCCGCGGCCCAGCCGTAGCCCAGCAGCAGGAGCAGCAGCAGCCCGAGCGCGCCCGTGCCCACCAGGATCACCCAGCCCGGGTACCGCTTGGGCTCCAGGCCCAGGTCGAGGCCCAGTTCGGTGCGCAGGAAGCCGACGGCGGCCGAGAGCATTTCCCGTAGCCGGGCCGAGCCCTCCTCGGCCTGCTGGGCCAGCTCGTCCTGCCAGCTCCGTGCAGCCATCTTCCCTCCCTGGCAGAGGGACTTGCAGGATGACGCCGGGGCGCGCAGGGACGCCGTTGGAAGAGTCGAGGGGGAAGCGAGGAAGGCACCGGCCGGAGAGCCTCAGGCCGCCGAGCGCATCGCGGCCGCCCCTCGCGCCGCAGCCAGGGATCGGCCGCTGCCGCCGCGGGGAGGGCAGAGGGGGCTCCCGGGTTCCCCCAAGTCAGTCTCCTCTTCGCCGCCGCCACGAGATGGGGAGACGGCAGCGAGCGTCTCCAGTGCCGGCCGCTAAGCGGCGTCTCGGCGCCAGCGCCAGCGCCAGGACCCGCTGTCCTCCCTGGGCGGAACAATGGCGGCTGCGGCGCGAACGAGCCACACCGCGCGCGGGCGCCGCCGCGAGGTCACGTGGCTCGAGCGGGCGGGGCGTCGGGGTCACGTGGGCGGGCCTAGGCGCCTGTGCGGCCCGGCCCGGCCATTGCGGTTGGCTGTGGCCGCTTTGGGGCTTGGTGGAGCCGCGGGGCCTGGCGGGGTGATGAGGGACTATGGACTGGAAGGGCTGGGAGGGCCTTGCCGGGCGTGTGTGAATGTGTGTGTCGTCGGGGGACGTCTCCCTCGGGTGGCCGGTGCGTCGGGGCTAGGAGACGTGGCGCTCTGAAGGAGTGCCGGGGATGGACTCGCGTGGAAGCGTGGGGAAGCGGTCACGGGGTCCAAGGCCGAGCCGTCGTGGGAGCTGTAGGGTTTTTCCCGCTGCTTGTGGAGAAGGAGGTTCCCGCCTCATCCCCCAGCCCCATGTTGCCAGGTGTCGGCCAGCGTCGGTGCCCGGCGGCGCCTCCGCGAGAACCCGGAAGTAGAAGTCCCCTGAGTGCCATTCCTCCTTTCCTACTAATTGGGTGCTTCGGAGCACCTGAGGTTGTGTTTACCGGGCGAGGGATATTCTCGGTGCGTTTTAAAGCCTTTGTATTACATCCTCTCCCCTCCCCTCAAAGGATATGAAAAGAACCTACTTTTCAAGCGAAGTGATTTCTAGGACATAACGTTAGAAGGAAACAAATGACTGAACCAGGTTGTAATGGAGAAGATGACGTTTGGGGGTGGGAGACGGCCTTAGGGTTTTTGAAGTTCCATTTTGCTGTGAGGCAGCGGCGGCGTTGGAGCATGAAAGAATGGCAAACTTGTAATCACAAGTGTCTTATGCCGACCGCATACCCACTTGCCCAAAGAATAGAAGGATGCGGGGAGTATTGTTTTAGTAAGTCCTGAGTGCCGAAAATGTACCATGGAGTGTTTTGGCTTACTTGTGAGTGTTGGAAGTTTATGAGTTTAAGACTAGTTTGTAAATAATAAATGGGGCCCGGCGCGGTGGCGCAAGTGGTTAAAGGTCCTCACCTTGCCGCCCGGGATCCCATATGGGCGCCGGTTCTAATCCCGGCAGCCCCGCTTCCCTTCCAGCTCCCTGCCTGTGGCCTGGGAAAGCAGCAGAGGACGGCCCAAAGCTTTGGGAACCTGCACCCGCGTGGGAGACCCGGAAGAGGCTCCTGGCTTCGGATCGGCATAGTATCGGCCCGTTGCGCTCACTTGGGGAGTGAATCATCGGACGGAAGATCTTCCTCTCTGTCTCTCCTCTCTGTATATCTGCCTTTCCAATGAAAAAATAATAAAAATAAATCTTTAAAAAAAAAAATAATAAATGGAAATGACGACGTTTTCTCAGCTTTATACTGACTTGAAGTCAGCAGATTATTAGACTGAGACGGTAGAAGGCATTGAGAAGTCTGTCCAAGTGCCGTTTATATTTGTGAAGTAAGACTTGGAATCTTAAAATATTTTGGGTGCAGGGCCAGGAAGGGTGGTGGTTTGCCTGACATCCACTGAGCACTCTTAGAGTAACACCCCGTGGATTTCTACATTTATTACAGCACTAGACTGGAGTTTGTCAGTCCCCTTGGCAGCCTAGTAAGTATTCATTTGCCAGTCATCGTCCCCTTGTTTCTTTATGGCTACCCTTTAATTTAAAAAATACAAAACCATTATGTTTACTTTTATTTGGTATTACAGATAGGCCTTTTTAAAAAATATTTGTTTGAAAGAATGAAAGTGAATGAGCAAGGGAGAGACTGCCTCTGTCCACTAGTTTACTCCCCCAATGGCTGCAAAGACCTGGGCTAGACTGGGCCAGGCCCAAGCCAAGAGCCTGGAACTCCACCCTCCGCTGCTTTCCCCAGGCGCCTGTCAGGAAGCTGGATTCAAAGCAGAGCCACTGGGACTCCTAACTGGTTCTCTTGGGATGTGTTGAAGCCAGAGAATTAACTGCACCACACCACAATTGCCCTAAGAGTTTTTTTTTTTCATGTTAACTTACCTTTCTCATATTTTGGGATAAAATGAGATCTGCTGTTTACTGTCTTGGCTCTTGTAGTAGTGAGTGTTGGTGTCGTTCTGTAAAGCCTAGTTGATGAAGCCAGCTAGGAACACGTCAGTGGGTCTCCACGTTTGTCTGTTTACAGCAGCATGCTTAAAAACTCAGCAAAGTAGGGCTGCATGGAAAGGAGTTAATATTTGGCCAGATATTAATGAAGCATAATAAATCCATGTAAACAGCAAAATGAAGATAAATTGTGCAAAATGTGTCTGAAACCCCTTACCCAAGACGTTTTGCATGTGGATTGGAAACTGACTGCATTTAGGAGTGACTCATTGAATCAGGTACCATTGAAACATCAAGAAGTATGAGTCTGCTACACTTTAATGAATCTCAACATGGTTATATAGAAAGAAGCCAGACCAAAAAGTCCGTGCCATGTGATTCCCTTGTTATAAAACTAGAAAAAGCAAAGTAATCCACAGTGATAGGAAGCAAATTAGGGTTCTTTGGGGTTGTGGAGTGGGTGCGGGGAGGGTTGGGAGGGAGATATTACGTGGAAGTATCAAGAAGGTTTCAGGAGTATTGATTCTGATACTGAGCTTATGAGTACTTCACAATTTACCAAATTGTATACTCTATCGTAGTTTATTTCAATTTTATATTGATAGGAGTTTTTGAAAAGTGATTCAACTTGGCTCAGTCCGAGCAAAGAGTGGGATGTTTCATTCTCACTGCAGGGATTTTAAACAAAGATTTTGTCACTCTATAATTCAAAAAAAAAAAAAAACAAAAAAACAAGCTTTCACAATATTATATCCTTGATGTTAATTACAAAGTGACTTTATTTTTACAAGTTTGCACATTAAATAATATAGTATTTTAATAATTTTTTTAAAAGCCAGAAAACTGCTCTTTCACCAAGTACAACAGCAGCTGAGGCTTTACCAGATTGAAGCTGAAAGCCTGATTGAAACCCAATCCACTCTCCCCTGTGGGTAGCAGGGACCCAAGTACTTGAGCCGCCATCTGCTGCCTCTGCAGGTTGTGTAACAGTGAAGCTGGCTTCGGTAGTGGAGCTGAAACGCCAGTCCAAGCACTCTGATGCAGAAATCTCAAATGACTGTCCTAATTGCATGTGAAATGCCCACCCCAGGCTTGATGTTTCACTTTGCTGTTAAATGTAGTGTTGGTGTGAACATGCTTATAACAAAATGTTTATGAGACTCATGGTTTTTTGGGATAGAATCCTGGTACTTTACTTGCCTGAGCCATAGCTCACACTGTATAATTAAGACACTTTGAGTTTGATGGTTATTAAGGAACCTACACAAATGCTACTTATAGTTTATCATTTTATGGGCAATAGGGTGCAGAGTCCGATTGGTTGAATTAAGACTAGACCCCAGTTCTGGCACTGCTCTGGTCATAGTTCATGAGGTTACCACACATACTAGTTTGCTAAGGCTGCCGGAACAAATAGATTGAGGCAGGCACTGTCACATATAAGTCTGCCTCCTGTGATGCCAGTATCCCACATAGGCACTGGTTTGTGTCCTGGCTGCTGAGTTTCCAATCCAGCTCCCTGCTAATGGTCTGGAAAAAACAGAAGGTGGCCCGTGTGTTTGAATAACCTGCCACACACGCAGAAGACCTGGAAGAAGCTCCTAGCTCCCATATTTGGCCTAGCCCAGTGCTGTCCATTATGGCTATTGGGGGAGTGAACCAGCAGATGGAAGCCATGTCTTTCCCTCTCTATAACTCTTGATTTCCAAATAAATAAACCTAAAAAACAACAACAAGAAAACCAAATAAAACTTAGACTGGACTGGGTGGCTTAAACAACCAACAGCTATTTCCTCACAGCTCTGTGGCTGCTAGTGTGCTGGGGCAGCAGTGTGCTTGGGCTCTGGTGAAGGCCAGGCCTCCTCTGGTGGCAGATGATCATCTTCCTAGCTTGTCCTCATGGCAGCAGCAAGTGAGCTCTCTGGTGTCTCTCTTCATGAGTGCTCAGTAATTCTTTCAGGTTAAGACTTTATTCCTATAATCCCTGTTAATCTTAGACTTTCCTAAAGGCCCTTTCTTCAAGTAGAGCACATTGGCAGTTAGGGTGTCCACATACGGTTTTTGTGGGAGACATAAGTGTTTCAGTGTGGGAAGAAAGTAGATTTTGTGCAGAGACTTAAATTTTTCTGTGGGTCATAGGATTGCACATCTAGCAAGATGATTTTATAGTAGAACAGGGAACTGTATTCGAATGTGCCAAGACTTAGAGGTACAGCCAGGAAAAGGTCATCCTAGAATACATTTAGTGTGAGTAAAGAAACCACCTTAAGGGGCTGGCATGATAATGTTGTGAGCTAAGCTGCCTCCTGCAAAACTGACATCCTGGTTGCTCTTCTGATCCAACTCCTTGCTAATACACTTCAAAAAGCAGAGAAGATGGCTCAAGGGTTGGGTCCCTGCCACTCAGGTGGGAGACCCAGTAGAATACCATGCAGAGATGAACATAGAATATTTACATTCTTACACCATGCATTAAAAGTAAAACACGTGTGTAGGTACGTAGGCAGTAGTAGAAAGCTTTGCATATCAGACCTGGGGTACTAATTATCTCTAGGGAGAGTGGGAGAGAAATGGGCTTGGCATGAAATATGGGGCAACTGCAAATATAATGTTCTCTTAATGTTATGAATATGGGTTGCATCTTTTTTTTAAGATTTATTTATTTTTATTGGAAAGAGAGGAGGAGAGAGAGAAGAAGATCTTCTGTCCGTTGATTCACTCCCCAAGTGGCCGCAATGACCAGGATCCAAAATCGGGAGCCAGGAACTTCTAGGTTTCCTACATAGGTACAGGGTCCCATGACTTTGAGCCGTTCTCTACTGCTTTCCCAGGCCACAGGCAGGGAGAGCTGGGTGGGAAGTGGTGCCACTGGGATTAGAACTGGCACCCATATAGGATCCTGGTGTGTTCAAGTGAGGACGTTAGCCACCAGGCTACCGTGGCAGGCCCTATGGATTGCATCTTATACTATCTCTACTGTTTATATATTTGACATACTAAGTGACAAAAGTTAATTGAGAAAAGTAATAATAGTTGGGGAACAGGAATGGTGGCTCAGTTGCTTAATGTTACTTGCTTAATGTCATCATCTGATATTGTACCCGGAACCAAGTCCTGTTCCTTCCTATCCAGTTTCCTGCTAGTGAGTTTGTGAGACAGCAAGTGACAGCTCAAATATTTAAGTCCCTGCCACCTATGGGGGAGACCTGGGCACTGTGGGCATTTGGGAAGCGATTAAGTAGATGGAAGAGATATCTCTCTGTTCCTCATCCCCTTTCCCCTCTGCATATTTCTGTCCTTTTCTTCCCCCCTCCCTCTCTGTCTTGTCTCTGTCACTCTGGTTTTCAACTTTTCTGATGTGACAATTTACATAGAAACTAGACAAATAAGAGTCTACCCTGACCACAAAATTGCTGGGTTGCTATAATCTTTTTTTTTTTTTTTTTTTTTTTGCTATAATCTTATAGTAGGGAAAAAGAACAGAATGATCTCTGCTAAGTAGGTCACGTCACATCCTTTGCTCTGATTTCATGCCCAGCGCACCACACCCAGATTGTAATGTGACTCCTGTAGATTTTACTATGTAGGAAGATGAGTTGAAGAACTGGCTTTTAGGAAAGCTGATCCTCCTAGCAGTTACTTACTAGTGTTAAGCATACATTCTCAAAGGAGTTGTTTGACTTCCCCAGTGGTGAGACCTTTAGTTTTCAGGAGAAGAAATAAACAAACAAACCAAAAGCTTCTTTAGTGTGTAAAGTTCAGAATTACTATATATACAGAATACAAAAACATCTGTGTCATCCAAATTGCATGGAGAGCAACTACAGACAGTCTAAAAGGGTTCTTGTGAAGGGTGACATTGAGAAAACTCTGGTGTGAAGGAAGAAACCAACATTTGCCGTAGTCCTGTGTTTTTGCTTTATCCCTTCCCTTGGGTCATTTATTCAATTGTTCCTTCAGTAAGTTTTTATTAAATACATGGTTAGGGAAACCTGCCTTAATGCAAGGGACTATCACTGTTGTCTGTTTGAGCATAGGGATTGAGGTTGATCCAGTGATGTACGTCCTGGAACCTCCTTTAGGAATGATGGATTGATTCCCTAACACCAGGGGTGTTGCCAGAAGACATTACTGTCATATTTTTGGGGTGATTACTGAGCAACACATCCTCGCCCAAGGTTATACCTGCCTCCAGGATAGCTCACATGCAATGGCTGAACAGCCTGTGCGGGTGTTAGGTCCTGGTGCTTATTCCAACTTGGAACAGTCCCTAGGGCCATCCTAGTCTCAGAGGACACCATTTGCTTTGAGGACTGTGGAGACAGCATCTCCCTTCTCTTAGTAACTTTTTTTTTAAGAATTATTTTTTCAGTTTTTATTTGAAAGGCAAAGTTACACAGAGAAGGAGAAATAGGAAGTCCTCCATATACTGTTTTCACTCCCAAAAATGGCTGCAACAGCTGGAGCTGGGCTGATGTGAAAAGTCAGGAGCCAGGAGCTTCTTCCAATTCTCCCATATCTGTGCAGGGGTACAAAACCTTGGGCCATCTTTTCCTGCTTCCCCAGGGCACAAGAGGGAGCTGGATCAGAATTGGAGCAGCTGGGACTCGAACTGGCAGATGCCAGAGCCATAGCCGGAGGCTTAACCTACTATGTCATGGAACTGGCAACTGGGAAGGAAATTTTACAATCTAAGCTTTGTGCACATTGATTTTGAGCAGTATGAAATATCCAGAGGATGATACCAGTAGAGAAATATATGTCTATGGGTGGAGAGCCAGGCAGTACCACTTCATTCCCTTCTTCTAATTTTTTGTTTTTCAGTCATCTGACACCATCTGTAGTCACAAGCCTGTTGCACTTGCTCTTCTCTTTATGTGGAATTCATGTCTTGCTTTTGCTTTATGGTTTCAAGGAAATGTCATTTTCTCCCAGAAGCACTGCCCAAGCACTAGATCAGGTCACCATGAACTTTCATAGTATTTGTCAAAAATCATAACTTTTCATTTATGCTTGCAATTATTTTCTCTTTCCTTTTAACTACAATTTCCATGTTTTTGCTTATCACTGTTCCACATCCTATACCTAACATAATATTTTGGATATGGTAGATGCTTAGAATATATTTAAAAGGGTAGTTTATGTTAATTATGTTACTACTAATGTGAATAAAAAGAATAGTAATTTACATTTGGTGGAAGCAAAGATATTTCTGTAATTGAAGGCATCAGTATTTTGTAGAGGAGACACTGTAGGTGCCCATCTCCTACTGTTACTTGTGTCCTATGTTATTCCCATCCATTGGGTATATCAATGCAGTATGGCAAAAAAATGTGGAATATGATGGAATATCACTCTCAGGGTCGTGTTATGTAAGATTGTAGCTTCTGTCTTGCTAATGTACCATTTTCTTTTTCTTGCTCTTTCTGGGGGAGAGGCTGATGTGAGAAACAGGGTGGCCTCCTACTGGCAACCAGCCATAGAGCAAGACCCTCAGCCAGACAAGCCGCAAGCACTGGGTCCTGCTGATAAGCCTGTGAGTTTGGAAACAGGTCCCTCCTAGGTCCCTCCAGTCTGACTGCTGCATTGCAAGAGCCATTCCAGCCAAGTTGTGCCCGCTTTCTGATCTTCAGAAGCCTTGTAAGAATGAGTGCACATTGCTATTAGCTGCTGTGTTTGTGGGAATATCATTATGAAGCAATGGATATATATACATTTTAATGTTAGTCCCTGGGAGTATATGCTGCTGTAAGAGATAAAGTTAGGAGCTGGTGTTGTGGCACAGCAAGTTAGCCTGCTACCTGCAATACTGGAGCTCTGCGTCAAATTTCAGCTATTCCACTTCCAATCCAGCTTTCTACTAATGCATCTGGGAAGGCATTGGGTGATGGCCCAGGTAAAGCTGGGTCCCTGTAACCCACCTGGGAGACTCATATGGAGTTCCTAGTTCTTGGCTTCCTGGCTATTACAGTCATTTGGGGGAATGAACCAGCAGATGCAAATCTTTTTCTGCCTCTCCTTGTCACTTTTTCAAATAAATAGACTTTTTAAAATTGAGTGAAGCAGGATTTTATTGAAATGAGAAGCTTCCTGTTTTCAGCAGTCAGGAGGATTAGCTTGTAGAGAAGAGTTGCCCCTAATTTCTTTTTAAAGAAATACCTAAAAATGTAGGAGTGGCTAGAGTAAATTTTGGGTATCATATTGAAGAAAATTCAGATTGCTTCCCCACTGGGAATATTTGCAGCTGTTTTCCTTTGCTTGCAGCACTGTTGTAGATTGAGTGTGTAGGGGGAAAGAAACTTGACTCTCTGAGATGGGTATTTGGCTAAGATAATGACATGCCTGGCTCCAGGTCCCGTCTCCCCCTGCTCACATTCCTGGCTCCAGGTCCCGTCTCCCCCTGCTCACATTCCTGGCCTCCTGTAACCCCATTTCATTATGTCATTTGCTTCTAATCAATAGAATGCCTCCTCGTGGAAGGAATGTCACTTTGTGTAATCAGATTACAGAAGCTTCTGACTTCAAGACAAGTTGCTGTGTTGAAAAGGCACACAAGGCAAGGAGCTAAGGGCAGCCTCTGGCCAACAGGCAGCTAAGGCCCCTCAATGCAACAAGCAAAAGGAACTGAACGCTGCCTGCCACCTTGCACGTGAGCTGGTAGGTGAACCCTTCCTCAGCGGAGCTTCCTGATGAGGCCCCAGCCGGTGCTCACACTGATTGCAGCCTAGAGGACCTAGCGAAACTGCCGGGACTCCTTATTCACAGGTGCTGTAAGATAATGTGCTTTAATTGTGATGCTTGTGGTAATTTGTTATCCAGCTGTTGAGCTAGTATACCTGTCATATTGCCAGCATGGGAGAAGATGGATAGTACCCAGCGTTTGCAGCTTTTGGAGAAATAAGCATGTATCATACTGTGTTGCTATGAGTGCCTTAACAATGTCCTTAAGACATTTTGGCAATATAGATTTTTTAAAAAAATCAAAATCCAAAGTTGAATATTTTTTTTTTTTTGATCCAGCAGTGTCCATCACCAGCAGATTATCCAAAGGAAATAACTGGTCAAATACAGAGAATTACAATCATTACATTATAGGCTATATTCTAAAAAAATTTGGAAGAAACATAAAGAGAAGAACATTTGACTGTATCATGACTTATATAAGGATAGAAATATTAGGGATTTCAAGACTGTGGTATGTATTTATACATATATATGAACTATGAAGTAACCTGGAAAGCCACATTGCTAAGTGAAAATAGTTGCTTAATTATTCATTAACATTTTAGAACATGTATGTGTGATAGCTGAAAAGATACTCCCCAAGGTTGTAATAAGAACTGACTATACTCATATCTAGGAGTTAGGATTTTTGGGTGGATTTTAGGTTTTCTGTATACTGTTGTAAACTGACTATTTTATGCAGCTATACACTTTTTAAATCAAAATAGATGAGTTTCACTTAGCTTTTAAAAATTAGAGAAGGAAGCGTTATTGAACTATAGAACAATTTCTCCTACAATGATTATAGTCTAGAAAATTTACTTAACTTATTTGAAAGGTAGAGAGAGCAAGAGACAGGCTGACAGAGCTTCCATCCACTGGTTCACTCCTCAAGTGCTCCTAAAGGCTGGCGCTGGGTTGGGCTGAAGCCAGCAGTCAGAAACCCAATCCAGACCTCTGGGGTCAGTGACAGACCCAAGGACCTGAACCATCATCTGGCTGCTTTCCCAAGTGTGCACTGGAGGAAGCTGGACTCAGGAGTGGAGTGGGGATTGGAACCTAGACACTCTGCTAAAGCACATTGAAGTTGAATATAAACGACCATGCCTAATACACTTGAGTTAGAATTTCTTGAATACTATGTGTTAGTGTAATATAAATTTATTTTTTAAATTTTAAAAAAATATTTATTTTCTATTGTAAAGTCAGATATACAGAGAGCAGGAGAGGCAGAGAGGAAGATCTTCCGTCTGATGATTCACTCCCCATGGAGCACAATTGGTGATGCTGTGCCGATCAGGAGCCAGGAACTTCCTCCAGGTCTCCCACACGGGGGCAGGATCCCAAAGCATTGGGCTGTCCTCGACTGCTTTCCCAGGTCACAAGCAGGGAGCTGGATGGGAAGTGGAGCTGCCGGGATTAGAACTGGTGCCCAAATGGGATCCTAGTGCGTTCAAGGCGAGGACTTTAGCCACTAGGCCATGCTGCCAGGCCCAGTATAATATAAATTTAAAATGCCTCCCTGGAAAATGCCCTCTGAGAGTTGCGATGTGTATTTAAGTGTATTTAAGTATTAGGGCCCACTCTGCCAAATAATGCCAGGACTAAATGTTAAAATATGTCAACATCCATGTTGTGATTTAATAAACCCCGTGGCTTTGAAGGTTCCTGCTAAATATTAATATGTTTTTCTAAAGCTGTTGAACCTTTATTACTAAAAGTCAAAATTTCTGTAAGAGGAGCCTCTTCTGGAAGAGAGGAAAGAAAACAAACAAAAAACCACGTCAAACCACACTAAGGACCCAACATTTGTGAAAATGAGTAGCTATTCTGGTGGCTGAGCAGAAAGGAAAGAAGCAGCTGTGCCTATTGGGAAGGACCAAAGTGTTTATGCAAACTAGTAACCTCAGTTACTCAAAAGCTGACTACAGAACTGAGAGTGCACTCAGAAAATGTGCTTTGGCAATGAGTAAGCTTACAGCGCCATGTGACCTTGCTTCAGCTAATAAAGTCTCAACTGATGGATTATTGGAACCCAATGAATCTTTTTTGGCTTAGTTTATGTTTTGCACATGATTTGCAAGAATGGTTTTTCTTTGGATAAAATTCATTACCCTTACTCCCAATAAGCCACTTTGTGAAGATTCATGAAAGTTTTGGCTGATTCAATATGAATTTATCACCACTACCTAAAAGATACATCTGTTTTTTGGTATGCAACCTGTTTGTTCAGATCTGATATCTCTTCCTCTTTTAAAAATAGCACTCATTATAATTTCATTTATGTTTTCAGATCCCCTGTTTTCAGACCTTGCTATGTTACCATTCTTGCCTCTCTCCCCTCCCCAACCTTTTCTTTACTTATTTTTGTCTGTATCTTTGTTTTTAATGTGATGTGCCATGTGACATTTCAGCACAGATGTTCACTCTGCCATTCCTGCTGCCTTAGGACACTACCCTCACGGCCTCATTTCACTTTATCTCCTTCAAGGCTGGTCCCAACACCATCACGGCAGGTGTTTGAACTTCATGTGAATTTGAGGGAGGGAAATAATGCAGTTCATAGCACGTAAACGATCTGGGCTTCTTCTGTGGTCGTGGAAGATAAGAAATCATACCAATAGTTTGCCGGCATTCTTTTCTATATCAGCTCCATGGGCAAGGAGGAGTATCTTCCTTGGACACTTTGGCACTCCTGGCACTTAGGCAGCACCTATCAGTATAAATATTTGCTGAATTAAGAAGTTAATGGATGTGTGATTAAAAACTAAGCAGAGGAGGCTCTATCAGAGGTGTAATATGTAAGGTAACAAGTGTCTGCTTCCTTGGTGGTAGAAATGAAGAGAAGGGGAGAAGGTGGGTGACAAGAAGCAGTGAGAATAGGAAGGTGGGGTGAAAGGACAGGAGGTCTTCTGAGTGGCTGGCATTCTGTGACAGACATGGTGTCATTGCTCCACTTGTGAAAATGGAGAAGTTGAGAGGACTGACTTCATTCCTGCAAGAACTCCTTTTGGAATGAGAGGACTCGCTGGTGAAACCAAGTCTCTGCACCTTATTCCCGTTGATTGTCTAGGTATTTCTGAAGTTTTTCGTTTAGCCGCATCCACCACTCCTGTTTGCTAGCTGCCCTCCTCCGACTCTCGTGGCCCAAAGAGAATTTTAAGGATGAGAATATACATTCTTCCCCCTCTCTCTTATAACAGTACTGTTTCTTTTCTCTGTGATAGCAACAATAGAAATAGAAATTATAGTCATATCCGGCATGACACTGACATAAAGCTTCTTCTCACCAGTGCTGTTTATGTCAAAATTGTTTTTTTTTTCCTGGTTGCTTTCTTGTCTCTAAAAGTGTAAGAGAAGTGACTCAGGGGCCCGGCAGCATGGCCTAGCAGCTAAAGTCATTACCTTGAATGTGCCAGGATCCCATATGGGCAGTGGTTCTAATCCCGGCAGCTCTACTTCCCACACAGCTCCCTGCTTGTGGCCTGGGAAAGCAGTCGAGGACAGCCCAGTGCTTTGGGATCCTGCCCCCATGTGGGAGTCCTGGAGGAAATTCCTGGCTCCTGGCTCCAGATCAATACAGCATTGGCCATTGTGCTCACTTGGGGAGTGAATCATCGGACGGAAAATCTTCCTGTCTCTCCTACTCTCTGTGTATCTGACTTTGTAATAAAAATAAATAACTCTTTAAAAAAAAAAGAAGTGACTCAGAAAGTTCCTTCTGTTTCTTAGCTGAGTTATTTATGAATGGGAATTTGCTTCTAATAATAATCTACTTTCTGAAAGCACTCATAGCCATAGCAGTCTCAGCTTATTGAAGATCTTTTTGAATGTGTCCGTTATCTCTTCTGAATAAATTACTCTTAGCTCACTTTAAATCTGAAATGCAAAGAAGTGCTTGATATAGACTTGGAGTAATTGGATTGCTTCTGCTCTAGGATTTAGCATCATGAAATTACTTGTTTATCCTGAATAATTGGGATGCTGTCTTCTAGCTTCTGTCCTAGTTGCTCCAAAAGGTCAAGAACTAAGTTCAGTGTTCAAACCTACTTGCCTAACAGGTCATGTAAATTTTCTTTTTAAAAATATTATTTGGGAGGCCTGGTGTGGTGGCCTAGCAGCTAAAGTCCTTGCCTTGAACGCGCTGGGATCCCTTGGTGCGTTCTAATCCTGGCAACCTCACTTACCATCCAGCTCCCTGCTTGTGGCCTGGGAAAGCAGTAGAGGATGGTCCAAAGCCTTGGGACCCTGCACCTGCATGGGAGACCCAGAAGAAGCTTCTGGCTCCTGGTTTCAGATTGACTCAGCTTTGGCTCAGTTCATTCTTGGGGAATGAACCAGCAGATGGAAAAGCTTTCTCTCTGTCTCTCATCTCTCTGTAAATCTGACTTTCTAATAAAAATAAATAAATCTTTAAAAATATATGCATTAGTTGATGTGGAGGGAGCTGGCACAATAGCTTAGATGGCTAATCCTTTCCTTGTGAGTGCCAGAATCCATGCAAGAGCCAGTTTGTGAACTGGCTGCTCTTCTTTCCATCCAGCTCTCTGCTTGTGGCCTGGGAAAGTTGTTGGGAGTGGCCCAAAGCTTTGGGATCCTGTACCCATATGGAAGACTTAGAGGAGGCTCCTGGCTCCTGAATCAGTTCCGTTTTGGCCAACGTGGGCATTTGCGGAGTGAAGCAACAGATAAAAGACATTTCTCTCTGTCTTTCCTTCTCTGTAAATCTGCTTTTCCAATAAAAATAAATATATTTTAAAAAAAATGTGTATTTTGGGGGGGGGCTGGTGCCATAATGTACCAGGCTAAACCTCGTTCCTGGCACCAGTATCTCATATGGGTGCCAATTGAAGACCCCACTGCTCCATTTCTAATTCAGCTCCCTGCTAATGTGCCTGGAAAATCAGTGGAAGATGGCACATGTGCTTGGGTTCCTACACCCACAGGGGAGACCTGGAAGAAACTTCTGACTCCTAGCTTTGGACCAGTCTAACTCTGGTTCTTGCAGCCATTTGGGGAATGAACCAGTTATGGAAGACCCTTCTTTCTATCTCCCCTTCTCTCTCTGTAACTCCGTCTTTCAAATAAAAACTAAATCTTTGAAAAATTACTTGATTGGGGCTGGTATTG